ATGGTTTTTTACCAAAAACTCTTGGGAAAAGCCTATTTCATTTTCAAAATGACCGGTCCGGCCACGGTCAGGCCGGTCAGTTCTGACTTTTGGAAAGCGCTTGGTGCCCAGGTACAATTCCCGCGTACGGTACTCACTGAGCACTAATGTGAACGCCCCCTTTTTACAAGAACCCACGCTAGCCGGTGCCCGAGAGACTATGTACACAGTTACTTAGCGGGTACCCCAGGTGTGAACACAACATCATTTTGTGACGGTAGCAGCATTGGTTCCCGGGCACCAAGCTGTCTGGACAGCCCGTTAAATTCTTTAATCGACACAGGCTACATAAGTATGACAGAAAAAAGTCTATACAAACATTAAATTTCACATCAATTGAACGACACGTTTTTTACGTACCGCAATTCAAAGTTCGCCTGGCTGGTCCCTGCCTGTTACCTCGTAGCGGGCCCTTGCGGTTTTGGCGCTGAGGTCCCTCAGGCTGTACCCACTCAGGCCTGAAGGAAAAAAAAAAGAATTGCAGTCAAACCGTTACTAGTACTTTACCAAGGCCGGATTTTCCTGGCAGCAATGCAGCGAAAATACATTACCGACTTGTTTTGTCTTGAGCGGCCGCACTACAAAGTTTTTATTTTTTATGCTTTCTTTCATGGCGCATGCTAACCTGCAACGATTCTTACGTACTTGAACTCCAATGATGAAGGGCCAGGCCCGAAACGTCTAGAGACTGAACTCACAAATATGGCAAGACGGCACTTTTTTTCATTACCCTTTTTTGTATTGAACATTCCCTTTTATTTACTTTATTTTCTTTCTCTTACCGGAATTTTGTTTCCGTTATTTGTTTCTTTTGACATACTTTGACAGCTCGCGACGACACACGCGACAGGGACGCAAATAGTTCGCGCCAAAATGACGTCACTTGATACGATTTCTTGCAGGGGAAACAAGTCGAGCTCTCGCTCTCTCGCTCGCTTTTGCCGCACAAAACAAAAAATCTACCGCTCGCGCTTGGCGCTCGTGAAAACATTTGAGCTCGACTTGTACCTAAGTCTACACAACGGCCAACGAAGGGAGAGCTGTGGGAAAGTGGCCACTTATGGGAAGGTGTACCCTGGGTAACAGAGGTTTTTTCTCGCGTGTGATGAGGAGCTTCGTCGGCCGCAGACACGAGTGGCGAAGCCGCGAGAAAAAACTTTTCGAAAAAACTTTTCGCGTGGCTCACTTTTTAATACTTAACCGAAACCGGAAACCGCGCATGAAAAGCCTGTGGCACCCAAGGTAGAGAAGGTGGGGAGCAATCTTGGAATGGAAAAATCGTCATCATCATCATATCAACATTATCATTATCCATATGCCTTTTAATAGCATATTTTCACGCTAATATTATCATGGGAAACCAGCTTGCCGGAAGACCCTTTTTCGAATATCCGCCAACCAAAAAGTGCTGACGCCCGGCTGGAAATCAGAAATCCCAAGGGTCCGGATTCAGATTAATTTGCAGTATCGATTCATCCACTGTTTTCCCTATTCCCTGTTATTGAAACGGCGAACAATAAAAACAATGAATCATGATTCTTTCGATTAAAAATCCATTTTTGTTTTTAAGTGAAGAAACGCTGAAGATCTGCTGAAGATGGGCTGTACTGCCCTTTGTAGATCAGACATTTAGATTTAGAACGCAAAAACCGTGTTTGGATTACATGCAAACAATCCCTCAAAGAAACGCGTCCTTAGTATGTAGTTACTTACAAAAGTAACAGTGCATTTGGCCCGTTTGCATTAGCTGGGTTTGGTCCATTGGGGGCACACAGCAAAACAGACTTGTAGGCTTTGCCACTTCCAACGTACATCTTCTTCCTAAGAGATGAAAAAAAAGTTAAACAGAGACAAAAAAGTTGTTTCCAGAAAACAGTGAATCCACAGCATGAAGGCACCAGAGAGAAGGAAGACTAACAAAAATATTTTTTTTCAGAATTCTTCCTTCTGGTCCAGTTCTAATCTGTATGTATACTGAAACTGGTTCCATTTTACCTGTTTTTAACCTGTGGATACGCGCGGTCATGTTTAGTTAAGAAAGATAATTATTTAGTCATGATAACCAGGGTCGAATCTGTGTGATTTACCGAAGAGTACACGAGCAACATGAAAAAAAATTGCAGTAAAATCTGGATTAAGCGTACTCTTCCTATTAGTCGGAGACAATGGTCCCTAGGTTTTCTTTCTTTCCTTCACACAAGCCTGTTTTTGGTTATTATCCGGGCAGTTGCGTGTTTCAAGAAGGTGTCAGCTTGATACAGGTTTAAAAACACACTTACTGTGGTGATTGCTTCGATTGCGTGTCTAATGGCTTCTTTCCAGAGCGACCAGTCATCTCCGAAATGGACTTTGAACCACCACCTGTGCTGGAATCACTGATCAGGCCTGCTAAGGACATGGATGGAGCAGCAGGGGATGGTGACTTAGGAGGCTGCGGTATGGCAACAACAGTAACTGCTGGACTGGTGGACTTCGGCACATAAGTGGCCTTGGCCTTGGCCTTATCTAAAGATTCTTGACTGGCGGATTTCGCTTTAGCAGTAGACTTGCCTTTAGCTTTACTAAGATCTTCAGTAGACGACCTGGGCTTCGAGGGTTGCGCAGCTTGGGTTTTGGCTTTGGCCGGTTGTTCTTGTTTTTTCCTATGTGCACAAAAGAAAATCTCGACTTACCCCTGAGTCAATCAATCAACCAATCTTTATTTCTACACGTGGACATTTAAAGCTTGGTACCTTGAAAAGTCGTGTATAAATTCTTTAATTTTTTGGGAAATATATTAAACACATTCATGCTGCCGGTCAGAAACCGGTGCAAAGTATACGGTATATGCGCGATACATGCGCATTAACCGTGAGGTTACTAGGGTACTGGAAACAAGTTTGGCATTTAGGAACACGTGTATACTTTACAAACTATTGCTTTACTTTTTAAGCAAGTGAAAAGCTTACTAAACCTTCAATTGAGATATCTTCTCGCATGTTCAGTTGATTTTTATCAGTTTTTAAGTTAGATTAGTATTGCTGGTTTACACGTGAAGTCAGGGCGGCCATGTTGGTCAAGAAGAAAAACATTTCTCTCCTCTGGGAACTAAACTGTATTTTCATGTTTATACTACTACATGAGAAATTTCTGCAATTTGATTGGCTTAGAGCAGTGGTATTACAGCTTAATTTGAAATACCTACATGTGAAAATTACAAACCTTGTAAGGGTAGTAGTATAAACAATTAATACCATTCGCGACATTTCAAAATTGTCTCAAATTTCACTCGCCTGACGCCTCGTGAAATTACGTATAACAATTTCCAAATATCACCCGTGGTATTTATGCCAAACATCACTGCAAATCATGCTATTACCTATACAAATTCTTCGAGAAAAATTCTATTGTATTGACCCCCAACATGGTCGCCTTGTCACGTGGTTGCAAACGAAGAATTGTAATATCCTCTGTACGAATTGTATCTTTTCTTGTACCATGCTACCCTTCTTTTCTTTTTCTCTCTCTCTGTTACTGTATATTGTATTGAACTTAAGCTTAAAAAAACAATTAAAACAATCTGGTATCTAGACACCTTCAATTTGGTTAAAATTAAATAAGTATTTTAAAACGTTCATGCAGTTTGAGCTCCATAACCCGATAAGTTGTAATCCATGTTTTTGCTTTCGAAGCTGTAAGCTGATGTGATTTGAACTTTGTACTTTAATAAATATTCCAGTCCTGGGATTCTCGCAATTGACAATAGGACTTCGTGTCGTATAATTAAGGGTAATCAGGCTCGTAATCATTATCATTATTATTATTAATGTTCATATCTCACACCACTTATTGTATCGGTGGTCACGTATCCCTAGCTCCGTCAAGCTATATCCTATAGCCTTAGGTGTCTAGAGTCCTCCTTAAGATCTTTGCTGTTCCCAACAAGTAGGCTTTCTGGAGTAAGTTCAGGATCGCACGTGTTCCTATCTTAGTAACCCACATCATCAAGTTTTCGGTCACCGCCCCAAGTGCCCCAATTACAACTAGAACAACAGATACGCTTTTGCAGTTCCACAGCTTTTTGTATTTCCACTTTTAAGTCCTGGTAGTGGTCAATCTTCTCTCGTTCTCTTTCTGTAATTCGGGTATCAAAAGGACATGCCACATCCGAGTCGATGATTTACTATTCTTATTGCTTTTCAACTCAACAAAGTCGATTATTAATATTAATAATAATATTATTATTATTATTATTATTATTATTATTATTATTATTATTATTATTATTATTATTATTATTATTATTATTATCATCATCATCATACTAACTGATAGGCAGCTTATTCTTGTCTATTGTTAGAGTATGCGAGTCCCGCTTGGGCTGACCTCACGCAATACTTAAGCGATCAAATTGAATCAAAACAAAAGAGGGCGCTAAAAATTATTTTTCCTTCTCGGAACTACGAGGACGCGCTCAAGAAATCAGGCTCAGTTCTGCTGCTCCAGAGGAGGGAGGATGCGTGCATAACATTTCTCAAGCGAAGTTACTCTTCTTCCGACCTGCTACGAAACTTAGTGCCGCGAGTTGCACAGACAAGACCGTATGCCCTTAGAACAGGAGAAACTGTTTCTGTGCCTGCCTCCTCAAGAACTAACAGATTTGGAAATTTTTGAACCATCAAATACCAGAATCACGTTTAAAATACCGAAATGTGATATGTCTTAATATTAACAGTTATATTTACGTGTCATAATTCCGAAGTATTTGTATGTAGTTAATGACTCGCCTTGTAATTCAGTTTATGCTGCAAAAAGGTTGAATGCACGATCATTATTATTATTATTATTACGTAAAATCTAGCACAGGGATTTTCCCTGGGGAGAAATATCCAGTCAAGTCTCATCCCGAGACCTCAGACTTCCAGCACCTTTCTGAGGATATGTGCCGATCCGAGGAGTGCCGACTTTTGCATCGTTGTTGTTCGGTTTTTAATTCCTAGTTGCTCCAAGTGGCCTGCCAGCTTCTTTGACACTGAACCCATTATTACTATTATCATTATTATTATTATTACTATTATTATTATTATTATTATTATTATTATTATGATCATCATCACCATTAAGCCGGTCAAGTTCCTGAGCCAAGTAAAAGCAACTGATTTTTGCGCCATATGGTCGATTTTATTTCCTTCGAGTACTGATCACTTGACGAAATGGCGTTAAAACTGATACGCAAACAATGGAAGACATAAGACGAATATGGAATAAAGGCAAGGAGACCAATTACAGGCTATTATTTTAATTGACCCGTATTTTTTAACCGGCTTTAGACTTGTTGCAAATCCGGCCAATAGATACACGTGAGTGCGTAAAAACCGCGCGTGATAATGCAATGAATAGTATTTTGAAGCCTATTCTCGCCTTGCCTTTTTAACATCATCGATTATTGAAACCAAACTCTTGAGTTGGCTTGCCGATCAGTAATGAGGAAGAAGTCCCGCAACGCCCTCTTACTCTAAAAGACCTTACAAAAAATTGCTCCCTCGCACAATTCTCCTATGTTGCATTAGACTACGAGTAGTCTCCCATTTTTCCTCAGGGATAGTAGAGCGAGCGAAACGCGAGCGGGCGTGAAAATCGCCCCACGCGAGAAAAGGCGACACGCGGCGGGGAGAGAGAAAAATTTTTCTCTCTCCCCGCCGCGTGTCGCCTTTTCTCGCGTGGGGCGATTTTCGCGCGCGTTCGCGTTTCGCTTGCTCTACTATCCCTGAGGAAAAATGGGGGACTACTCGTAGTCTAATGTTGCATACACCTAATAGATCTATTCGGCTAACTCAATGTTGTATCCAATTCAAATCTCCCGGGGTTAAGATTCTTTGTGTATTGTATTTGCATTATAATGTGACATTCTCATTTAAATGTATGGAAATTCCTGAAACAAAAAGTTTTATTCCCAAAGGGTTTGAATTGGGTACAACATTGAGTTAGCCGAATAGGTCTATTGTGAAAACGTTGGCCGGTATAACCTGTTTACGATACAACAAAAATAGGACTAAACAGTAAAAGGGTAAGCATTTGTATTCTCAGGGAAAGAGTTTAAGCAATCATTCTCAGTCACAAAACATCGCTGCTAAAATTTTAACTAGGCTTATTTCTTTAACACAGAATTCAATTGTGTAATAGTTTATGGTCTATGCTATTTTTTTCGGCCATTGCTTAATCAATTACGACTAAAGATAGAATCTCACCTCTGCATGAAAACGTTTGAACAGGGATCGTCGAAATTTGATTCCCAGAGATGTTGCGTAACTCATGGACTGGGGTAAGCGGGGCAAAACAACTCATCGACATCACACAATATTTTATACAAACAGTAGCTGGTTGTCTCTTTTTCGTTCAGAGTGAACGCAAGGAAAAACCTTTTGTGTACACACCAGTATTAAGAGACCTGAATGAGCCACTAGGGGGCTATAAGGCACAGTAATAATTGAGAGCATAAGCTTCTCACACAAATGACAGCAACTATCACGCGACGTCAGGTATCACATGATATATCATATCACGCCTGGGCCATACGTTCCTGCGTGATCCTGACCGAGTTTCTTATTTATCACGCGACTGCGAAAATGTTAAAGATTGGTACAAAGGAAAGAGATCCTGTAATCGTAATGTTTCCGAGTTCAAAACATCAGCAATACTACAAGGTTCGCTTGTGTCGCAAAAAGCAGTGAGCAGGTTGGTTTTCTACTGTTTTACTCCGGTCCTAGCCTGCGAGAGCATCCGGTTTTTTCGGCGCCCGCCAGAGGACCAGAGGGAGAGAAGCGGCGGTTCGCAGGCTACATGAGGCTACTCCAGTCCAAGTTTTGAGCTGGAGCTGATTGAAGGTGATTTACCAAACAAATGTACAGGTATTTTTCCTGAACAGAACACAACCTCACTAACCGAATGTAACTGATCAGAAAACAAAAAACAGGGCCTATTAAAGAGACAACTACATTTCTCGAGATGTCGTTAACTTGCTACTTTGTATGCCTGTAAAAAACAATTTTAATTAAAGTTAAATCTCACCTGTCCATGAAATATATTCGACAGAGGCTGAAGAAACTTGATTCTGGTAAATGCAGTGTAAGTTGCAAAGAGGAAACGGCACAGGGCACCACACCATAAACATGACAACTAAAATATCGACACCTTCCTGCTTGTTTCCTTTTACAACGAGGGAAAGGTGAAATCAAACTGAACATACCAAGGAAATTGCGGAAGAAAATAAGACGAATCACAAGGCCTATACAATGCACCAAGCGATGTCACATGCTTAATCTACAGGCCCCGGTTGTTCAAACGTTGGATAGCGGTATCCATCGGATAAATCACTATCCAGTGAATAAGTATTAGGGAAACCAACTGCGCTATAATAATAACTTTAATAGTAACATCCTCGTGAGGTTTTTCAGAAACTATTTACAAACTATTTCCAATTTATAAAAGCAAAAATGACAATAAAAACTCGAAATCACAATTTATGATGGTATTCTACTAAAATCTAAAGCTTATGAAGGAAATGTCTGCCTCAATAGTGTGTCTTTCAGGGCGCGCTTGAAAGATGCCAATGAGGCACTTTGCCTAAGTTCATTATGCAAGTTATTCCATATGTAGGCCCCTCTGTAGGAAAATGTGCGCTGGCCTATGGCCGTTCTGTATAGCGGAATCTGCAAAGAGTTCCGTGGACGAGTGTTACGAGTATGTATATTTGAGCGCTTGGTAAACTTTAAGTATTGAGGCACAAGATCGTTCTGACATTTAAAGGTCAAAACGGAGTCTCTATAGAATAATTGTTAATTATCCAGTGGATAGATTTTTATCCGGGTGGATACCGCTATCCAACGTTTGAACAACCGCGGCCAGAATGGTAACAAACGAAAACGGATTTAATCCAAAGAGAAAATCGACTGCACGGTACATGTACCGCTGGATCCTTTTGCTGTCCATACCTTGTACTCAGAGACTTGTACTATTGACTTGTACTCTTGTACTATTGACGTCATTTTTATTGGATATCGCAAACGCCTTCCAAATTTGGTCAATGCTAGCTGGTTATGAAGAATTAGCAAAGACATTTGAGCCAATCAGAGACGGAGAAAATTACGAAAAAAAAAAAATAATTGCGGGCGAGCGAGGGCGAGCCCCAGACGTATTCTTGGTGAAGTGGTCAGCAGCACTTCCTAAGTGTATACGTCACGTTGCGGACACCTCGCTATAACGGGCACCCCGATAATACGGACAGCAGGTAAATGCCAGGCAAAAATAAACTGCGGACGTTTGATTGAAATAAACTCCCCCTACTACGGACTGTTGCTAATGAGGACACTAAGGCCTGGTTCAGACGTCGTACTTTTCATCTGCCGGATCTAACTGAATACGATTGACTTTGGAGCGACACTGGCGCGAAATGTGATTCAGACGGCGCACCGTGTGTCGAGGTCGAGCCTAAGTTAAGTTCGACAAAAGGCCGCACCAAACTAAACCTGCCGTACCAAATTGATTCAGATCGCCACTCTCTTACCGTACTGAATTCATTAGTTAGGTTCGACACATGAGTGGAGCGGCGTGACTCCAGGTCCGTACAGCGTCCACTATATTAAAAGGGACTTGACTGTGGCGGGATTTTTCGTAACGTCTGTCCACATTCTGGGAATGCTTTTGTTCTTCCAACTGATATACATGGTACAATGTATGTGGTCTGGAAGGACCTGGTGTTGAGTTGAAGGTCCCTTTGATGTCACGGCGAGGTGCAGGGAGAGACGGCTGTTTTCGGTCTTTTCGAAGGCTAGTGAATGCACATGCAAGTGATGCAAAAAAATTTAATCGATTCGCAAACACTCGTAATTCAGGTATACACTCTACTAAATGCAAGACTTTTCGATTCGCATTTCCCACCGGAAATCTATTTACCAAGGGGAATGAAAGTAGAGCCTGATTTCAGCTTGGTACGAGAAAAGCCTTTGCTAAGATAAGTGACGGTAAAGTCTAGAAATCCATGTGTTATATGTTAATTCAGGTACACTGAGCAGGATGTGGTCTTCAGGCTTATGAGTTTTAAACAGGGTATACACTCATGTGAAGAAGAGAGGAAGATTTTAAGTATAATCATAACTATAACAAAATTCTCAAATCTGATTGGTTCTCAACTGCCCTGATTTCAGCCTTAATAGGACAGTTTAATAGGACAGTACGCGTCATGCCTAAGTAATTGGACAGTACGCGCCATCACGCGCGCGCTTAAATGGCTTTTTTTTCATTGCTAGCGAAAAAATCTTGGAATTTCTTGTGTCTTGATTTTAAAAAAGAGCCCTATATATCACAAATTTTGTTAAAGTTATGATTGATTGGTAACAGAACTTCGTGTCGTCCAATTCGATCTGTAATCATACTCGTGATGAAACAAATCGGACTCCCGCTACGCGGTCGTCCGATTTTGTTAATCACTCGTATGATTACAGACCGAATTGGACTCCACTCAGTCCTGTTACCATTACTAATTCATTAGTTATCTTATTTAATTATTTAGACACGACCCCACAAGCGAAGCGTCGCTTTAATACTTATCGTGTATAAATAAAGATTATTGATTGATTGATTATTGATGTACAATAATGCTATTTAGCGTCTTGAACAGCTGGATGTCGTTTTGGACCTGGAGTGTGAAGGCTGAATATTAGCAGTCTTCACTTGTGGTACCAACAATTATTTTTCCAAAAAATTAAAGTCGATGATGCTAGTTTAAAAAATATCACTTAATTATTAGTATAAAGTTTTGTACTCACTTTGCAGGGCCCTTTTTGCTGTCTTCGTCACCTAACAAAATAAACAGTATGAATGAATAGTAACTATTAGAAATGCTATTATAAATGTAGTTTTATACATAAAACCACCGACAACCACCATCGTTCAAAACAGGGTTTTTTTTGGTAACCTGCGACCGGGTTAGATTGTGCGAGGTTGTGGAAGGGCGAGCTGCCCATCCCGGCGCGCTCGCGCCCGTTCAGGACCACCAAAATTTTCCCCAATTCCCACAAGTGAACCTATTCACAGGCNTGGTGTATATCCTATTTATTTTCTAATTCATTAGTTATCTTATTTAATTATTTAGACACGACCCCACAAGCGAAGCGTCGCTTTAATACTTATCGTGTATAAATAAAGATTATTGATTGATTGATTATTGATGTACAATAATGCTATTTAGCGTCTTGAACAGCTGGATGTCGTTTTGGACCTGGAGTGTGAAGGCTGAATATTAGCAGTCTTCACTTGTGGTACCAACAATTATTTTTCCAAAAAATTAAAGTCGATGATGCTAGTTTAAAAAATATCACTTAATTATTAGTATAAAGTTTTGTACTCACTTTGCAGGGCCCTTTTTGCTGTCTTCGTCACCTAACAAAATAAACAGTATGAATGAATAGTAACTATTAGAAATGCTATTATAAATGTAGTTTTATACATAAAACCACCGACAACCACCATCGTTCAAAACAGGGTTTTTTTTGGTAACCTGCGACCGGGTTAGATTGTGCGAGGTTGTGGAAGGGCGAGCTGCCCATCCCGGCGCGCTCGCGCCCGTTCAGGACCACCAAAATTTTCCCCAATTCCCACAAGTGAACCTATTCACAGGCTATGGTTTTTGAAGAACACAGAGGAAGGACTTCCATTCTGTTCATCAGAAAATCGAAATTGAGCCCCTGGGCAGAGCTCGGGCTTGACTTGACCCCTAAAGGAGACCATTCTCTAACCCTTGAAACCCTAACATCAAAATTTGAACTCTCCTTTGTTGCCTCTATTCATTTCCTACAGAAGTAGTGGGGAGAAATTGATAAAATATAAAGCAAATTCATCTTGCGTGATCATGTCCGTAATTCTCATGACCACTTTGTTTTACAAAGCATTGATATTACAAGGAGAAATTTGACGCTGATCACTATTAGGGCATAAAGGGTTAAAAAACAGCTAAATAAGAGCTATTGTGGTTTCACTTGTGATAAGGACGTCATACATGTAATTGAATGATTTCTTCTTTCTACGTATTTCAGGTGTCACCAGTATGCTTGCATTTTTATTTTTTTTCACACACAATCCTAACTGATACTTGTGTGCATAAAAAAATAATAATAATACTATGGGTGTTCTGCCCTGAACATCCCACACCTAGGTGATACATGTGCCAAAATTTACAATGTATATTACTTTAAATCCTAATGGAGACAATGAGCATCACCATCCGTTTTACAAGGAGGACAGGACAAAAACCCAGCCTAGATAAAAAAAACACTGGCCATTCTTAATATTGTATGGGTAATCATACAACTTTCAGTTTAATTTGAAATTTTCTTCACAGATGTGTTTTTCAAGATGTACATGTATCAAAAATGTTGAGCTGGTAGGGCAAATGCAGTTACAGCTTTTTGAAATATATCACACAAATGCAAATAAAATTCCAAATTGGATGAGAAAAGTCGTATGATTACCCTTAAATAATGTGAAAAAAATTTACTGCATCAAAATTCGTCCCCATGCATCACCTCAAAGTGGCTCATAAAGATTGTGGCACCTCATTGGTTCTTAAAGGAGCTGTGTCACGAAATTCAGTCAAATTAGGAAATTACAAAATGCCCGTTAAATTAGAGAAACACAAAAATAACCACTTAAAACTTTAAAGGAAGGTTAAAATATAACAGATGCCACGGATGGGCAAAACTGAAGAAGATTGAAACGGATTGAAATAAGAGTTTTTGAAAACTGTTCAGCCTAACAGTTTTTCAAAGTTGATCCCTACTGCTTGCAACTTCAAAAATAATGCTCAGGAGACATACATGTACATGTATTTGTTTCTCTCGGGTCTCTGATTTTTTCATTTACTTTTAATTTCTTTGCTTACTTTAAGTTCCATACAGATTGAGGGCGAGTAATTTACAAAATTAAAAAAAATGAACCGGACATCCGTGACACAGCCCCTTTAATGCGTACATATATCTATTGTTTATTGGGCAAGCTCAGTGCTCCATTCTATAAGATATTATCATTTCTATTTCCTTGATTTTGCATACTGCATTGCTCTAGGCCAACCAGATTAAAGCACATTTTTTATGTAAAAAAAAGAAAAAGAATTATTATTTTATTAACTAGGAAACTGAAGAGACCATGTGAAGTTCTGTTGAAGAGTAAACCCCACACTAGATGCCTCCACAGAGGACTCTGATGGTGAAGAATTACCTTTCAACTTCTTCACTATTTCCCTGGCTTTGCTTTCATCATGTTTGGCCTGAAATATCAAAAGAATCAGAATTAGAATACAAAAGAGAACGCTCTTTGCTACTAGGAACGTAGAGATAGCTATATTCACAGGCTACAACTATAAGACCTGTTACATGAAGGGCATGTTTGTTTTTTATCTCATAATACAGGTAAAGTATACATGTATTTGATGTGCTTTTTTGTAAATCAAGAACTGTGAGATTCTCAACAACTTGCGTTTTGACTGTTCAAAGCGAGAAGCATTTAAATGTGGTACATGTACTTTGTGGCAAAATTGCATCATTGGAACATTCAAAAGCTGGTGACCCAAGTGATATTAAAATACATGTACCAGCCAATTTTCCTTGTCTGCATATAATCTTTATATAATAACCAATTCTGAAAGAATTTATTGCGCCTCGAGTGCTTATCATATAACAGTACATAACAACAGTGTCAAACTGCTATTTGTTTGACAGATTAACAGTTGTTAACTTACAGTACGAAGTGCAACCTCAATAACAACTTCATCAACACCTGGAAACTCTCTAATCAGCTTCTTTTTTACTGAAAACAAATGTGAAATACATAAAAATAAAATAATAACGGGCGACATCAAGGCTAAGCTCTAGCAGTGCCCAATGGCCCCTGGCACCTAACTTTAGCTGACCCAGCAAGTGACTAGAAAATTTAAGTTTTCTCATAGACATCATGTGCTGGGCACCCTGGATTTCACAGGGGTTCAGAATACAAGACTCCCTTCAATTTTTCTTGGTGCACAGCCTTGAACATGCACCACAAACCCACAAAGGCCATTTCTGAGTTGCAGAAGTTCTCACTCTCATAGTGGGCTACTGTAAGTACAATTTAACCTTTCTTGTGAAGATCAGTTTTATTTGCATGAGAATAAAAAAGATCATTTTCATATCAGTGGCTTCACACTTAGCCTCGCTTTGAAAGAATGCATTGGGGCAACTCAGAAATGGCTTATTATAAAGCAGCTTACATGTATCTGCTAAATTTGCTTTTTTTTAAAGGCCAATCTGTCACTATATCAGCAACTTGCCAGTTATGACTCATTGAGTCGCAGCTTATATTTTAGTATGAGAGACTCTAGACAAGCAGTAAGACTTTTAAAATTAATATTAATTTTGTGTCAGTCAATAGAATCCTATCAGATGTGCCATTCCAAGGAAATTTCTTCAGCAGAAGGCAGAAAATGCAATTACATGTAGTTTTCAGCCTTTTGCAATAATTAATTTCATTCTTTCTGAATTTTTATTTTTGGCACCCTGAAGAGAGGGACATTGAAGTTCACAGTTTTCAGTTTTTATCAAGTGGTATTTCAGAAACTTCATATTTTCAAATACACATGTTAAAACATGTGGTATTGCATTTCCCTTTTGCTCTCCTCTAATACCCCCAGGCTCATACAGGTCAATAGAATATTTAGGCGACACAATAACACAGAAAGGTACATGTATACTGGTACAAAAAAGTTAATTTTCTTACGTCTCTTGACCTAATGGTAATTGATTACACAATTTCTGACAGTTAATCTACAATGAAATTGTTTTTTGTTGTATCCAGTGACTGGGCTTTGCAATTTGAGGTCTTCTCAGCTCACGCTATCTTGCAATGACTGAGGTTGATTTCTTCTGCTGGTACATGCTTGATCTCAGATAATTAAACATGCCAGATCATGAGATGGATACAACTTACAGTAAGCCTGACTGATCTTAAATGCTGTATCAGTATTTCGTCCATTTTTAACAGAGTATTTTAGAATTTGCCAATTTTTCTTACGGTATTGCCTTATTGGTTAGCCCCCCCGCTCCCCTGTGTCTCTCTCAAAACAGCCGGTGATCTGTGGTTTGGAGTATTCAGCAAGGCATTGTTCCGGTTACACATGTACCTATAAACTTACCATTTTCCTTATCTTCAAAGCTCTTCTCCTTAAACATTTCAGCAAGAAAGCTTTCAGGTAACGGTAGGTCATCATCATCTTGGAAACTGGAAGGACGGGCTGGCTCACGCTATGCATGTAAATCAATGTAATCACTTTAGCTTTTTAATGGAATAGGGGTCCAGTGAGAACCCAAGACTAAGAACCTGGTTTTTAAGAACATGTTAGGCTAAAATTTGCCAGAATTAGGCCCCCTCTATCTAAGAGTTATTTTCACCTGTTAAGCCTAAAATTTGAAACAGGTTCTTACTTTCTAAAATCTATTTTAAAAAATCTGTACACTTGGGTAAATAATTCATAAGATAAGTCAACATCCAGGATACTCTTTGGAGATATAGGTGCCTTAATACTTCAACTGCATTTGTAATGATATACACACTGAGTTTACCTAGTAAGGAATGAGCTGTTCAAAGCACCCCCAATACTCTCAGGTACAATGTATTTTTTCTTCAGAAAATAAGAACCTACTGTATTTAAGAACCTAATTCAATGGCCTAAATTCAAGTGCTAAATATTACCATTTATATAAGAACCTGTTTAGGCTAATGTGGGAGTCGCAGGTGCATGTTAACTGTATTGCAGAATAAGAATAGTATACCCAAAATTTGGCCAGGCCCTGGTTTAAAAATCTGCGAGCGAGACAGTTCTTCCTGTTCAAGTCCAGGACCAAGATTTTAAAATCAGATTAAAGGCTTAAACTAACACTTCATCAAATGGGTGTACACATGTATGTTGCATGGCTACATCAATCAACGATAGAGTGATTTTACTTGAACTGTGAAACAGATACTAACAAATAGTGCAAAATAGTGAGAGTCAAATGAAAGAAGACAATAGAATTAGAGCATAATAGTGCATAGTATTCTACTAACTATTTCACGGTTCAGGTAAAATCACTCTAAAAGAAAAAAATTGTCAAAAATTTACAATCTTCAGTTGCTACAAATAGAGACTTTATATTGAGACTAAATTTCAAAATATGAGAAAATCAGATGGCCTAAATACTAGCAAGCCTGAGAATAACAGAATTTATCCTACTACATGACAAATTTCTGCAATTTGATTGGCTTAGAGCAGTGGTATTTCAGCTTAATTTGAAATACCTACATGTGAAAATTACAAACCTTTCCCGGGTAGTAGTATAAACAAATAATAGCAGGATTTGTACGTGACATTTGGCATAAATACCACTCGTGATATTTCAAAATTGTCTCAAATTCCACTCGCCTAGCGGCTCGTGAAATTACGTATAACAATTTTGAAATATCACTCGTGGTATTTATGCCAAATATCACTACAAATCATGCTATTACCTATACAAATTGGATTCATGACTTGTAATATTTTGCTTTTTTGGTTGAGTCAGATATGCCTCAGCAAAATACCTTCTGATTGCTTCTAAGCATTTTTAAATTTTATGCCTTCTTTCACAGAGAAAAACATAAATGTACCTTTAATGTGCAGTGTATATGTTAAGGGTGAAAATTGAATTTTGATTAAAATTTTTTAACTTGGAAACAACCTAGGCTGCAAAATTTTATCCTGAGTATAATTTTGAGCTGTAACATATGCACATGTACAACTGTACCCACATGTAACAGTATGCTGTACTGCAACACAGCTATATAATAGTACAATGTATTTCAGTATGGAAAGTTTCAGTGAAGAAGGGAAAAATTAATGGCGGACAGTTCAGTACTGACAGAGCAAACAAAAATTAAAAGGTTATAGCCGTTTGAAAAAATTAATACTTGCCTTGGAGGCTGCCTGCGAAGATGAACCACCAAAACTGGTCTCCTGCATTGACAAGTACAATAGTTACAAATGGATTGTATCTAGGTATTCCACCTTGTTACTTCAGTTGTCCTTATTTATATTAAGTATACACTTGTATAATGTGCAAAGTAGGCCTTAAGGCCGATACACACGAGGGGTTTTGCTCCCGGAGCATGCTCCAGGCTCATTTTGCATGTGTCAGTACACACGAGGGAGCGTTTTCAAGTTCGTTTAACCAGTTAAATATCGTGGAGCATTTTGCGGGGTGGAAATACTGCTCCCAGGATGAAGTATACCCATGAAATCGTTGGTACACACGGAGGAGCTTTGCTCCCGAAGCATGCATAGTAGTGCATAGTGCATAGTCCTACTCAGTAAATCAACACTATTGCCTGACAAAGACCTGGGGTACACAGTCAAAGCGTTGCGATCAATATCCAAGTAGCAACCATGAGACAAACAATAAACAGTACCCTTTAACAAAACAAACTAAAGCAAATTTTCCAACCAAAAGTCTTTACAAACGTTCAGTAGTTGCAATTTAGAAATTGCTAGGAGTAGTGTTTATTACTAAGCCAATTTTGGCGCAATGTTTGTGTGCACTCCTTTGATTATAATAAGAGATATGGAATGGGGCTCCATTGAATTTTATTACTGATTTACATGTATTGATAAATAAATACAATGTAGTAACTTAACCATGACAGTCTAAAATACTGAGTACCACTCCGAAAGATAACTTTTCCACTAACAAAACAAAAATGTTCCAACTTTCATCAAAAAGTTACCTCATCATCACACCAGGTTGATGACATTGCTTTTGATACACACGGCAAACAGAGAACAATGACAACTTATAAGTTTCAGAAACTAAAGAAACATTCCAAGTCTTTAATAAAATCAGCTAGAAGAACAAAATACCTCAGTTACTGAGTATCTTACCCGCCGACTGGAGCTTGAATCAGCTTTAGATGAGGTCTACATTAAAACAAAAAAAGTAATAGTACGTGTAGATGTAGCAGTACAAGAACAACCAACTACAATTACCGTTGCAAATGTTCAATAATAATATATGAGTACCTTAATTTATAACGCTAATTGAACTAAGTGGAATGTAATTTGTATAGGTAATAGCATGATTTGTAGTGATATTTGGCATAAATACCACAAGTGATATTTCGAATTGTTATATGTAATTTCACGAGCCGTTAGGCAAGTGAAATTTGAGACAAATTATTTTGAAATATAACGAGTGGTATTTATGCCAAATATCACGTACCAATCGTACTATTATTTGTTTATACTACTACCCGCAATAGTTTTGTAATTTTCACATCTAGGTATTTCAACCACTGCTCTAAGCCAATCAAATTGCAGAAATTTCTCATGTAGTAGTATAAGGTCTGAAATCATATGCATGATTTTACTGTGAATTCAATTTGAAATCCATGCTTCGTACAAAGTCAGACAAACAAATTTCATGGACTTTTCAAGAAATTTTCAAGGCCAAATTACAGTTTTCAAGGACTAAGATTTATTTAATAAATCGGCATCCTACGGTCTGTATTGGCTAAAACACATCATAGGGTCATTAACAAGTTTTATTTCTTCGGCCATCGTTGATCACATTATTTTATACTAGGCTGATTTAGCAACAGGACGGGACCGTCAGTTGACGACGGGAAAGCGCGAGGAAAGGACTTAACATGACTTCCAGTGCTCAATTTGCTAGTCTGCCTTGGTCAAACCAGTTCTTTGATTTGTGCGTACCATCGTCAACTGACATTCCCGTTCTGTTGCTAAATCAGCCTTCTACTTTCCGCAAGAAAACTTTGCAAAATGACTGGGTATGACTAAGACTTGGGTACAGAACTAGCATTTGAAATAAAGAAACAGTAATAAAATATTGTTCATGCACAAAAATGTTCTTACGTCACCCGTGAATTTTACAGGTTCTTACACCGAGGATGAACCAAATTTTCCTCGCCAAAATAATCTAATTTTACAGAAAAGGTCACTGCTGTAGACAAGGTTGTGAATTTCAAGGACTTTTCAACTGACCCTAATAAAGAAATCAAGTACTTTTCAAGGACCTAAAGCCCTAAACCAAATTCAAGGACTTTTTAAGACAACTAGTAAAATTTAAGACCTTTTCAAGATTGTATGAACCATGAAACTCACAAGTATGATTTCAGACCTAAATTACATGACACAAAGTTCAATTCTACCACTTTATTACAGCCATGATTAAATAGCAGAATTCCATTTATTTCAGTACCAAACTTATATTGATCTGTAGCCAGTTTGCTGAAAAGTGGAAACAAAAAGGTTTTTACATCTCATTTTGTATGTAAAACAAAAAAGCAAACATGGTGCGATTTAGAATAGAAATGATGCGATTTAGAACAGATGTGATTAAATTTAATGTTGCATTTTAATACTGCAAAAAATCAGGGAAGTGACAAATTGAGCCACTCTAGAGCTTGTAACACACAGTTCAACATTAACATGTTAAGCAACAGCTGTTATAGCACTTGTTCAGGTACTATTTACTTTGTACTTGTACCAAAGTGCGTGGGTTTCATCAGTTTTTCCACAGTTGTGAAAAAATAATTTGAAACCACGATGCCACAGGCTAATTTATCTAAATAATTTTTGAGGGGTAACAAAACCCCTGATAACGATACAAAATTGTATTGCCTGTATTCTTCTGATCACAGGTAAGGTTTCATTAATTGGCCTCCCATGCTGGGGCTGTATTTCCTCCCTTCCTCCTTTCCACTTTTGGGGAGGGAGGAAATACAATTCCCCTAAAAATGCCTGAATGAGAGGCTATCCCTCATTGTGTTAAAATTAATTTATAATCCTCTCCATTTCACCTTGAATTGACTCATAGGAATGGCTTCTGTTTTTTTTATCCTAGGGTCCTCCCAAGTTGTCTTGTGTGTATTGTGGTCGATGAAATAGCTAAAAAGTCACAACAAAATTACACCAAAATATTAAAATCAAATTCACATTATCAATGACTAAGGATCATAAATCAGCTGTTAACGTTGTATCCTCTAATCAATTCATGTGTACATTATGTTATTTTTAAACATACGGTAAGTTTAAAACTTTTGATCTCTACCTTACCGTGATTAGCCTTAAATATTATTTTATTTATTGATCTTTTTATTTACTCACTGTGACGGAAACAATAAGCTTAAGTTTAATAATTTATAAAGTTGGAGATGACAACAAAAAACGCGTAAAAATCATGCAAGTCAGGGTGGTAAATTATGTTACAGTACATTTCAAGCGAAATATCTAAGAGAACTGATGGCAGAGAGCTTTTCATATTTTCCAAATAAACATTTAATGCGTGTTTTAGGTGGTAGGGAGCGGCGACTGCTCGAATTCAGCGGAAACCGGAATTTACATTGTACCTCAAGGAGGTCAGCCTTATTTTCTTAAAAGCAGTCCTGCAAAATACATTAGCCGTTAGTTCGAGGATACTTACTATCTTCTGACGTTTGCATCATATCTCGCTTCCCAGCCTGGAGGAAGAGGCTGATTTTGCCAAGGCTGAAATTGTGTCCACCCAGTCGCCATCTTTGTTTGTGAGACGAAACCCTTCGTGACTACTAACTGCTTCAAGTAATGTGACACAATATGTCACGAAGTTAAACCACAGGTGAGCAGGTGAGCCAAGCCTTATGACTCCAGTCAATTCCAAGCGTGCCCATCCCCCGCCGGGCAGTTGTCATCTTGTGGGTCCCAGAGGCGGGACATTTGCCAGAAAACCTCTGTCGGGGGGTAGGACATTTGCAAATTTTCTAAAAGCGGTTAACAGTAGAAAAGTGGATCTTAGTATGCTATTAGATGACAATAACTGCTCTAACTGCTCTCTTTGCATTTCTCAATTTTTTATTTCTTCTTCTTATTTTTTTTATAAGATAATGGATACATGAAGAAGAAGAAATGATCGTCGCAGTGAACGCAAATTATGCAATTGCGTAAAGAAGTCTGAAAAAAATTCAGGACTTCAACGGGGTTTGAACCCGTGACCTCGCGATACCGGTGCGATGCTCTACCAACTGAGCTATGAAGCCACTGACGTTGGGAGCAGGTCAGTTGTGGGTTCATATTTTCCCGTGATGAAAGTCCTGAATTTTTTTTCAGGCTTCCTTACGCAATTGCATAATTTGCATTCACTGCGACGATCATTTCTTCATCTTCATTTCATTTCCGCAGTTCATATATGTGTTATTTCATATATCATTTACACTCATTTCTTTCACGGGAACATATGAACCCACAATTGACCTGCTCCCAAGGTCAGTGGCTTCATAGCTCAGTTGGTAGAGCATCGCACCGGTATCGCGAGGTCACGGGTTCAAACCCCGTTGAAGTCCTGAATTTTTTTTTTCAGGCTTCTTTACGCAATTGCATAATTTGCGTTCACTGCCAGTCAACGACGATCATTTCTTCATCTTCATTTTATTTCCGAAGTTCATATATGATTTATTTCATATATCATTGACACATAATGGATACATTTGTACATATTGTACATTTTAATTAATTAATTTATTAATTAATTAATTGATTTATTCTTTTTTTTACTTATTTTAGTATCCCCACTTAGTGGTTATACACCGCTATTACAGTTTTGACACTTTAATAAAGGTATCATCATCATCATCATCATCATCATCATCATCGTCTTCATCCAGTACAATTCACTTAAAGATATGCCCATTCAGGGTGGATTCATTTGCAACATACGCGTATAGCTGTCGCATTTGCCTCATGGGTTTTTTAATTGTTTTTAAGCCGAAAAACAATAAAAATTCCAGTGAAATGAAATGAAATGTCAGCCGTCTTCAACCTCTAACCTTTGGGGGGCGCCGGGGAGACTATCAAAAAAAGTATTTTGGACAGTTTTATTTTCTCATTTCATATATAATTGGCAGGCGAAGTCTCGAGAGACAAAGCTTGTGCGCCCTAATCAATTCGTAGTGATGCTGCATTTTCTTGTGTGGCTGTGCAGGCCAATGCGTGAGTGGCAGTCCTTGCTGCACAACGCGCATAAGGAGTAGGAGGAAGGCAAAGTAGAGCTGTTTTTGCGGCGAGCACGCTTCCCATCAGCTTTCTGTCGACGTTTCACCTCTGCCTTCACTATTCCTTCTTTCACTGTCCGCCTCCACCGGTCACGATCACACGCAGCATCACAGTTGTTTGAATCAGTTTCGCATGCTCTGAGGTCACGTTTGCAAGCGTCCACGACCGACTTTCCTGACTCCTGTTGTCAATTGTCCGTATAAAACTTCCTTGGGGATGTGTCCATCATCCATGCGATGAACATGCCTGAGCAATCTCAGGCGGCGCTGACTGAAGAGGGGTTGCATGCTGGGAATACAAGCGCATGACAGTATGTCACTGTTGGTGATGTGGTCTTGCCACTTGACGCCGCGGATGCGCCTGAGGCATCGCAGATGGAAAGTGTTCAAGCCGCTTTCCTGTCTTATGTAGGTGGTCCAAGTTTCACTGCCATATAGCAACGTGCCGGAGAACGCACGCTTGATAGATGTGCATTTTGGTGTTCTCGGTCAGGTATTTGTTTTCCAGGCTCGCTTGGTCAAATTGGACATTGTGCCAGTAGCTTTGCCGATTCTTCGGGAGATACCTGAGACAAGGCTCACGTTTTTGGAGATGCCAGGTGGAACCGAGGTAGGTGAATTCCTAGACTACATCGAGAGTGTGGGTTTAGTACGAGAGTCCAACTGCACAAGGTCTTTTTAGAGGAGAAGTCTGGACGCATCTTTTTTTTGGAGAGAATTTATTGCATGCAATTTGTAGGTTACAATACATGTAAATCCAATCTAAAAGTTCTTCTCATACTCTAGGTACCGTGGTATACGCAGCGAACACAAAGGTCACACCATTAAATCAGGTGGTCGCTTAGAAGACTTGTTAATGAGGAATGAAAGTTCGAAAGCTTTCGAAAACCGTCATCCTAAAAAGTGGTCGCGGTCGCTTACGAGCGATGGTGGTCTTTTACTAGGGCTTCCATCTAAAAGGCTTTGTCTGGGACAATTTTAGTGTTTTGCCACCGGTCGCTTAAGTGAGGTGGTCGCTTACAAGAGGTGGTCGCACATAAAGTTCGACTTCATGTAAACAAACAGAGTTGTTATATTCAAGAATTGTTACATTCTTGACGATTACAGAACAATTTTCTTTTAAGATAACCGTCAGTATAGTCCGAAGAAAGGATATTGCGTGGTCTGACCAATACGATTGTACCCCCAAATTATTTGTGAGAGGTGTGAAAAAATTGGAGCAAGACCTAAAACCGAGAGAATGTCAAAGGGGCTGTGTCACAGCAGTCCAGTTCATTTTGTTTAATTTTGCCAATTACTCGCCCTTAATCGCTATGGAACTTAAAGTGAGCAAGGAAATTACATGTAAATGACAAAATCAGAGATCCGAGACAAACAAATATGTCTCCTGAGCATTATTTTTGAAGTTGCAAGCAGCAGGGATCAACTTTGAAAAACTGTCAGGCTGAACAGTTTTCAGAAACCCTGATTTCAATCCGTTTCAATCTTCCGTCAGGTTTGCCCATCTGTGGCATCTGTTGTTTCTGTTATGTTATTTTAACCCTCCTTTAATAAAAGTTTTAAGCGGTTATTTTTATGTTTCTCTTAACCCTATTCAGACTGGGGGGGGCTTTTCGAACCCCCCCTCCGGCAAAATCGTGATAACTCCTATACCGAAAGAGCTATGACGTTCAAATTTTCTGACTTTTCCTAAAATTTATCTAGGAACATTTTGGTATAATTACCATGTCCATGTGATTAATCATGTTGCCATGGCAACCAGTTTCTGACACATAGGTTTTGGAAAATTTAAAAAATGGTGATTTTTTTGTTTTAAGATCGCGTTTTTACACTTATAGTGCTTTTTGTTGTTCAAATGGTCTTTGCTTGGGACTAGTTTTTGAATTACATCAAAATGTTTCAACATCGAATATTTGGGGGGGAGGGGTGGGGTAAAATTTGTCACTTTTTTGCTTTGACAAATATGCTGCTCTATTTTCCAAATAACACTTCCAAAGTCATTTGTTTGGGTAATAAACATTAATTTGATACTTCTTTTATACATTCTGAGCTTTTTCCCCTTTGAAAGTTGCTTTAAATTATAATTTTAATAAAAAAACCGGAAATCCAAGATGGCGGATCCAAGATGGCGGACAACCATTTCAAATTTTAAATTTTATTGCTTCCTATTGCTTTTTCTCGCTGTACAAGTGTTTCCTTGTTACTAGTTCATAAGAAAGGATAACAAAGAGATGACTTTACCAATATTATTGATATTTTACGTATCTAAGTGGAAAAATAATAAGAAACATTGAAAAATCGAAATATGACGTCACTGTGACGTCATCATTGGGTGTGGCAAGTCAAAACTGGGTGTGGGGCTTCTTTGTACGGAGATGATCATTGTGTGTAAATTTCATGACCCTAGCATTATTGGTTCCAGAGATACAGAGGGGGGGTCCGAGGAGCCCCCCCCCCCCAGTCACAGATTGACCAAAAAAGCCCAGTCTGAATAGGGTTAATTTGGCTTGCATTTTGCAATTTCCTAATTTGGCTGAATTTCGAGACACTGCTCCTTTAATCAAAAGTTGCGTTGTTTATTTATTCTCAAGTGATCAGCTGTGTAATGCAGATCATACTGGCTAGACAGCTCGACATCTGCATCAACGCATTGCTGTGCACAAACATTCCGCAATAGGTAAACACTTTTTGTAAGCTACGGTAAAAAAAACTCTTCTGAAAGAGAGCCAATTCCGCTTTTTAAGAATGGCCACGAAAAATTTGATTGCCTTATTTAAACGCGATAAAGAAAAAAGACCTCAAGACTAATCTGAAAAATTTTATTTCTCTTTGTTTTGGGATGGTAATGTATGATAATGAAATTAAAACAAAGGGAAATAAAATTTAAACCAGGGATAAAATTGAACCACAGCAACTCTATCAGTGCGTAACTCTTTGTTTAACTTGTAACATATTCTTATATGTTACTTTTCTTTTTATTGCAAATCTAATTGTTTTTTTCTTGTATCATTTATAGAACCCGTATATGTTTATTTCCATGATAATTTCACCATAGAACGTCGAAAAGTCGTCATTAAAAAAATTGAACGTTTTAGACATTTCTGAAAACGATTTTAACCAATATTTTATTACAGTTAGTTCTAGTAAAATGTTAAGAAAATGGTTCCTTTTGAAATCTTTAAATAAGAGGAAAAGAATTGACTTAGGCATCTGACGAAACTGTGAAGTAGAAAGTGCTCCCAATTTTACAAAACGAAATAAAATGAGGACTCCTAGGAAAAAAACTATACTCTCAACAACGATAGATAACCTCACAAGACACAGCATTTGTTCAGCTAATTCTCCTTTATTTGGACACACACACTTCTTTTGCTATGACAACCAGAAATCAAAATGAAGCACTAACTTAATATACCCCGTATCATCTGGTTACATTTACTTTATTTTGTTTGTCTATTTCTTGGAAGTTTCTAGAACTTTTCATTTAACCTTTCCGTAACAGCTTTAGTGAATATAAAACAAAGAAAAACAATGAGTCATTGAGCTGCTGCTTCAGTTACGGCTGTGGGGGAGCCACCTCTTCTATGTAGATCTTGGAGACTGAGTTCCAGCCTGTAGCCGCGTCGCCAGTTTTGGAACCACCAGCGCACTTACCGACCCAGAAACCCACGCGGACCATGCCCTTATGGAGCTTCTCGCAAATTCCTTCAATGTGACGAGGGCGATGTGGATTTTTTTTCCAGTTAGTGCCTTGTAACACTACAAATACACCATCAATGGCTGCCGGGGACGAGCATTCTGCACCATTGAACGTAAAGTACCACCGATTGCAGCAGTTGTGGCAGTTAGCGACACGGAAATCGCCATTCCAGAAGACACGCAAGGCTGTATTGTCGGATTTTTTCTTGAAAATACATTCCTATGGAATGATTCAAATAACGCTTAATTAAATTTAAAATTGTTATAATGGCCTGACGGCCTCGTGAAGCTTTGTACTGTTTAGAGTCCGTTTATCTTCTTCCTCTTTTCTTTTTTATCTGTCAATGCTTTGAACAACACATGGCTTTTAATCTATTGTTAAACTGACGGTCCTTACAACTTTTAAAACAAATAATAAACATCAACATTCATTACAACTTACTACTTAAAATAGTATTAAAAGAATTTAAAATCTGAGTACTCTAATAACATTTTTTTTAACATTAGGAGTAGGGATGGCTTAAAAAAAGTGTTGATATGAATGGTAAGTTATTAAATGGGTTCGTTTAGTGTCTAGACTTTACTTTCCCCAGTTCAATCATGTTTATCCGTGTTTATTTGTACGATTATATGAAATCCTGTCAGGACGATTCACACCCATATCCGAAGACAAAGAGCGAAACATTCACTGGCATAAATCTATTGCGAGTTAAGTGTTTACCTTGATAAAACCAGTGTCTGTTTCATCATTCATACTCTTAAATACACACTGTTTCCAATTACTTCGGACGGTTCCCTGTGGACCTTGGATACCACGAGCACCTGGTTCACCTTTGCTTCCTGTTTGTCCCCTTGTCCCTTTATTTCCTTGTTTACCTGATGGTCCTGCGGGTCCAGGGCGTCCCTGGATGCCCGGTTCACCTTTGCTTCCTGGTAGACCCGTCGAACCCGAGGGTCCTGTATCTCCTTTAGGTCCTTGCTTCCCACGAGATCCTTTATCCTGTGTTTCCTCTTGGGCCCGTGGGTCCTTCAGGTCCACGATCGCCGGGTGATCCCGCGGGTCCAGGGATTCCTGGGATCCCTGGGGTTCCTGGTGAGGAGCAGCAAGCACTCTGACCACATGACCCAAACGACGTCTGTTGGGTACACTATTATTAATGAGCACAAACGCATTAGTTGGTCAATAAATCAGCAGACTAACTGCTTTGTGTAACGAAAAAAAGAAAAGGCCTGATAATATTTGTTGATTTTTTTATTTCCTGTTGTCGCTGTTACTTATATCGTAATACGACGTACTGGAGATTAGAAATAGGATTAGAATAACAATGGGGTTGTTGACTTCTGGGAAAGGATGTTTTATATGTCCTTAGGGTGAAGGGGACACACAAGGAACCGAGGAAGACCAAGGACGAGATGGAGGGACGACTTTGATAGTTTCCTAAAATACTGGCACCGCTCAAAACGTGGTTCAGTGGAGGTCAATGGGGAAGGCTTACGTCCAACGACGGACATTCAACGGCTGAAACTGAAACTTTGGGGTCGGAAAATTCACTTAAGTAATGCGCAAAAGTTTCTTGAGCTGTACAGCTTGCTTTACAAAAACTTCAATGCCTTCTCCTCCGTTAAATTCCGCATTTTGTTGTTATGGTTAATCAATTCTCTGAGTGGCGGGTACGATTTCGTGGTTCTGAGAGCTCCCGATGGAAGAACTCATTTGTGTGGCCAGTTATTGGATCCGCTAGTGACCACATTACATCCTCTAAAAGAAAAAAACCTTAAATTGCAGGTTTATAAGCCCCCTCAGTTAATTATAGGTCCATCTACCCGTAAACAACAACAAAATCCGATTATAAGCCCCCGGTTGTAAGCCGCTCCTCTATCTTGCATTGTAATGAATTAGATCAAGAGAGAATGATCTAGCTCATTCTCTCTTGATTCCTTATATTATGAAGTTTTGAAGCTTGATTTAAAACCACTAAATTCAAAAAGTACTTTTATTAGCATTGCTATAGCTTGTTTCGAGGCGCTTTTACTAGTCCGACCGGTTATAATCCCCCTCAGATATAAGTCGGCCTCCAATGATAAACCCTCCTTTTTTAAACCCCTGACGAAGATGTATAAGAACAGAGCTTACAAGCGGCAGTTTACGGTAATCAGGAAACGTGGAGATTTGATGGATCTGTCAAAGCAATGGACCAGCAGTTCGGTCAGAAATAGAAATTCCTAAATTTTTTTGAATTTATTTATAATATACCTTTTTCCCAGGTGTTTTGTTGCTGTTGCTGCTGCTGTTGCTTTTCGTGGAACACAAAGTACTAATCAACAGTGCGTAAATCGCGATGTACAGTGGTACTTTCATACTGTTCTGCTTGGTTTCGTTTTATCTTGGGACCTGGAAAAAAGGATAGCATGTTAAAGTGTAAGTCACTGAGTGACACCATATCATTGATAATGCATCGTGTTTCTACACAGAAATATACAAAGTTTTATTAATTCAAATATCAAAATAAATTAAACAAATATTTTAATTCATTATAATTCTTTACTTATTAAAAAAAATATTAACATTAAAATTGATATTCGTATTCTGGCTTGTATTGAATGATTTTTATTTTAAAAATATGAAAAAGCTTGGCATTCTGAATAGTCAATCGGCCTCGTGAGTGCTTGCCGGCGATTTTCTGCAAGCTTGAGCTTTAAGACGTTTTGCACAGCAAATATCGGCGCTTCTGGCCTTTCTGTTCGCTCCTTACTGGTGAACCTTCTTGCGTCATTTTAGCTGAGTTTTTTTGCTTCTTTGTGACAAACGTATTTAAATGTAATGATCTTAACTGTATTTTATCACGTATTGCAGACTTTCTATGACTTAAGCACTAACGTTTTCTGTAATTTATATGTTACTATTTATAATGGAATGGGAAATAAATAAATAAAATACTTAAAAGAAAATAAGTGAGTTTTCAGTCTTTTCCCAAGCTTAATCAAAACCGAAAGAGAGCTCATGCTTTGGAAAAAAACAAAACGAATTAAGTACTAACCTTTCAGTTTTAGTGTTGCTGCAGTCTGATTCTAGGAGCTGCTGAGATTAGAATGAATATTTCTGCTCCACCAAAGAGCTATTTATCTGTATTGAAACAACATTACACTTTCATGTTACAAACACGTTTGAAAAGAGGTTACGTGTGCAGTAAATAGGGATGTCAGGGACTATTACATCGACTAATAACATGGTTGCTTAGGAAAAAACATTTGTTTTTGCGCAGTATCAAGAAAGGGCTTGTTCGAGGCTAATAAATGACATGATACAATAACAAGTTAAACTTTCTGATGATTTGTTAGAACGTGTCTCAGTTGACCAATGAATTGTCAGCTGTTTCCTTTGTTGTATTTCCTTTTTTTTTTTTAAAGACAGAAGGCGAGAAATATTCAAAGAGGTAAACCTCGTATGTATGGTATTTGAAAGAGTTTCCATGCCATTTTAGTGGCTCTTATTAATCAATCTCTTTGCTTTCTTACTTTTCTGTACGCTGCTTTTTTACGCTGAAAAATTATAATAGCCCCATATCAACGAGGTCACACCATAGCTTGTCAGTATACAGACGTAATTTACAAGTGAGAACTAAAAAGCCTCATTATTTTTCTCTCCAGTTTTTCCGGGTATTTCGAGGCATGATATCTACAAGGGATATAAAGGAACCCTAAAACTAAAATTTAAATGAGTTGAATGGGTGTTTTCACTACGTGTATCTTTTACAAGGCATTCACAGCAGGACATTTTTCTTGCTTTTATTGACACACCCAAAGAAATTGCCGTTTTTGCTGGCAAAACGTGCCATTTCCAAAGCTCGCGTGGGCTGATTTTCACTCTGACTTAACTTGCTTCGCACGCTCTGCTATCCATGAGAAAAAAAATACAGTGCGATTGCAAGGAGAAAAATTTTACCTTTTTTATCCAGCCAGAACCGGCATAAATTTTCCATATTTTCAGCTAGCGGGGCGTTCATTTAGATTTCCCTGCCAGCTAATTAGCCAAAGTTTTATTTCCCAGCTAACTCAAATTCTGCCTGACGAGCGGGTATTTTGTCGAGCGGCTCCGTTGGGTACTTCTTCTAATTTCACGTTTAGTATGGAGAAAGTAAACAAGCAACAAAGAAATTCTACGTTTCTGAGTTTTTTTTATTGTCCCTTGGAATTCAACTTCAGGAGGGTTCGCCTCTATTTGAACAAAGTAAGTGGGTAGGAATAATTGCGATAAAGCTGAAAGAACTTGTTAAAATTAACTTCGTTCTCTTTGCCTTCGCGTCGTTGGATCTTAAAACTCCATAATTATAAAAAATTCCGGACACGTAAGCTTTTCATTTCGTTCTAAACCATCGCAAAAACGCGTTTATGATTTGACGACGTCGAAAGCCGGTTTACTGAAAAAGGCACGTTTTGCTATAATTCGCCTACAGAAACTTCCCATAGCAAAAATGGCTTGTCGTCTTGTAGCAAAATTCGTTTCCAAGTTGTAATATTTTGGATAAGTGATTAAGATTTTCACAAAGAAACTTCAATGAGCTACTCACCTTTTAAGTATTTTACCAAGTGACAGGCACTGTATGTTGGCAGCAGACAAACAACAAGCTAAAATCGAAAAGTAAGAAGACATTTAAGATAAGAGCTTAAATTAAAGAGAATGGGCAGAGAATCCCAAATCATTACGAACCTAAATCTTCGGTCTCGTCGATCCTTGTTTGCGTTAACTTTTGCTGATGACAAACTCCAAATGTTAATTATAGCCCTGTTGGCGTTCTCGTCTTAACAAGTTTCACTACTCCATGGTTGATCGATCAGTATAACTCAGAAAGATCCGTCTTTTATGTCGTCGATCATTGCTCCATTATTTATAATGGATAATAAAAGATTACTCAATTTTAGCTTGAATGTCTGAGAAAAAGGTTACTCTACAGTTACATAAAACCTACTTGATATAATGTAAGATAATTTGTAGCGTGAGAATAAAGAGTTTGGTCGACTAGCTGAACACAAGAGCTGTCCGAAGTTAGGATTTCTACAGATGGCCCAAGATGTCTAAAGAAACAATGACCAGTCTGTCGATGGCGAAAACTACTTTTAACAGGCTATAATTCGCAGAAGTTTGTACAATTATAAGAACAATAAAATGTCAGTAGAGGTTTAGGCAACCTCAAAGCGGAGCTCTCATCCGAGAACGAGTATTAAAAATTGTTAAAACACATTTTGGAAGAGTGAGAATCACGCAAACTGTAGTTTATAAGGAATAAAAATAAGCTTATAAGCTAACACGATGGAAGATAGACAAGATACGCCGGCATGTCTTTTTCAGCCGGGTATCTATTATGTGCATTTTAAACCTCACAATGTTATCGGCTGTAATGAGCTCTAATAGATAGGCTATACTTTATTTCTTTTAATCAAGAACAATCTGTATCGCTCTAATTTTCAGACAAAATAGCTGCGTAACGAAAATTGATCAGTATGCTGTAATAGAACTAGAAACCGTGAGAAAAAAAAAAACAAATTTAAGTCACATCGTTCAATTTGCTACTCTTGCTGAACGCGCTGCAAAAACGTTAAATTAAATTTTAGTAAGTAAATTTTAGTAAAGCGGGACACATCATTTAGCCCCGCTATGGCAGTTAGCCTATTAAGAGGGCATATAACACAGAAAAAAAAATTGCTATTCTACTTCATCGCAATTCCAATAGTGAATTTTGGGAACACTTCTCGTCACAGTAGTGATCTCTTTTCATTGCAATAGTACATGAGGCAATCTATTGTTAGTGACAAAAATATACCGGCAAATAGCTAATGTTAGATTGACTTAGTTGTAATAATGAACATAAATGGTCTTGTTCATTAAAAGCGAGTATTTTGATTCGTGAACGTTCCTTCTATATTTACAGCGGATTTCCACTTTCGTAGGAATCACTAAAACAGTCGTAACAAAAGTCAAGGCCTACGAGCCCCAATTAGCTGACACCACCGTCGAAGATATTATGATTTGAAAGTCAGTGATTGACTTGGTTTTGCCAGGGAGCACCCGAAAGAAAAAAATGAGATGATGAACGGAAATTTTGTCAGAATATATCATATTAAATGATAACTTACCGATGCCTGTACTTT